TTTAAAAAGTTCTCATTCGGCGGAAAGTATTCCGCCGAGCGGAGGAGCGTTTGTAGCTCTTTAGGTAGGGGAAGACAAATTGTCTTACGCATCGCTTTGCTCGATTTAAATTCAGCACGGTGCGCTCCGTTCATGAGAAGCTCCCTTTTTCCGCTTTAACTTTTGCTCCTTCGCGGTTCTTAACTATGACGTTCGGATAATAACGCGAGACACGGAAATGACTGTAAAATGAGAATTTGATACGGACCCGAGGCGCCTTCCCTCCCTTTCTCCCTCCCTCTCTCTGTTCCCCTTTCTCTCTCTCTCTCTCTCTCTTTGCCTTTTGTTCTCGCAAAATATTCCCTCGCAATTACTACTCGCGCAAAACGAAATGACTATTATTTCGCGATAAAGCAAACGTGTTTTCCCGAATGTCATTCCGCGAGCATTATTTTGCAACGGGCGACCGGCCGACCGGGGGCGGTTCTCTTCCCTCCGCGAAATATCGTTTGTTTTGTTTGCGAGAATGTTCGTAAAAATCCATATTTCGCGGGGTAGAGGGAAGAAGAAGGAGAGAGAAAGAGGAGGAAAAGCACACACAAAGAGAGAGAGAGAGAGAGAGAGAGAGGGGAATGAGGAAGGGAGGGAGGTAACGCTGTGTTTCACAATCGCAGCGAGCGCGCGCGCGCGATCTCTCCGCGCGGGAATATCCCGATAATTTCTGCCGTTACATACCACACGGGTTTTTCCCGTGTCGCGTGGCCGCTTTCACCCGTCTCGTCATCGACGTCATCGTCGTCGGGAAACTCGTGCGAGAGCGATTGTCAAAATATCGCCTCGATAACACGCTCGTTTACGACGCGGCGAGCCTCACCTTTCGCCTTTCTAATGATTCGCTCCTCCGTATCCCCTCCCCTTCCCTCATCGCCCTCCTCTATCCCTTCGCCTCCCGTAGCCTTTGAGGATTTCGAAGTGGCGCTTGTCGATAATTGTACCAATTATAATTAGAACTTAACCCCACGGTTGCCCCTCGTCGCCCCCCTCGGCCCCCTCTTCTAGTCGACATAACACCGTTCGCGGGACGGGACGGATACCGGGTGGCGCGTCGGTAAAATTCATTTCGCGTAATCCGTCAGCTTTGCATCTACCCGTCATTAATTCAGCTGCGATTTTAATTGACAGTACAGGCTACAGCCCCTTTCCCCGCTCGCTCGGCCGTCCTCTCCGCGCTCGCTCGCCACGCGGCTCGCGTGCTGTTTATTATCGATTTTGCGAAATGCTTGCGACCACCGAGAGAGCAGGGCGAGCAGGCGGCTCTCGCTCTCGTGTCTCTACGGATGATGCAGTGATAACTGCACCTGTCTGCGTCGATAAACCGGCGGAAGGGGCGGGTGCACGCGGATCGTTAAAGCGGGACCGTACGCCGAATTTCGGTAAATCCACAGGTAGTAGCGAATTTCCAAAATTGTTTATGGTGTCCTCCAAACATTATATACAATATATATATATATATATATATATATATATATATTTCGATATCTGCCGATATATATACGCTCGAAAGAATCGGGAGATCGCGCTGAATTTCCGCCGAATAGCGCACCACCAGCTCGAATCAAACACGGGAGCGTGGTTAGCTCTCGTATGAATGCATCGATTAAAGATTGATGACGAGCACGACGAAGGGAGCACACGACGCTTTGACATCTGATGCGACATTTGAAGAAATGATCACCCACACTGCAAATCTTTTAGCTGAAGCCCTCCTTACACACTTTTTACACGTATCTTGCTGTTTTAAATCACGTCATTTAACACGATTGGACTAGTTAACTTGTAACTCGACGTTGTAATTTAACGTGTTGATTTGACACGATTAAACGTTTTAAATGACGTTGAAGCTAAATCGGCAAGAAACATGTGGGAATAGCTTCAGTCAAATGCGTCATTTTGAGACGTTTGCGCTCGTAAAAACGACACATTCGGATTTACAGTGTAATTACTAGCGCCTAGTTTATATCCCCCGGCAAAATTAAAGAAGAAAATAGTATATCGTTACAACAGCCGCGATTAGACTCGTAAAGGCCCGTTCTATCGCTTTTCAGTTAATCGGAAAGAAGAAACCAGTCCACAGATTTGTATTACACTTTCAATCGCGCGCTCGGAGCGGCAACAAACGGGAGAAGAAAAACGTGAACGCTTCCTTTAACACTCAAAGAGAGAGAGAGAGAGAGGCGAAAGGATTGAAAAAAGCCTCCTGCTGGATGCACACGGATAGAGTCTTTTAATCATATCCGCCGCTGTTAGCGGCCGTTGTTAATCCCGCTGATCGCCATCGAACGCAGGGCGAATTACCCTCGTTATTATTTCGCCGCGGGGGATTTTATAATATTCTCCTCCGATGTATAATGGCGGTTTAACCCGCTCAGTATCGTGCGCGCGCCCGCGTTCACATACAGGGTGGTCCAAAACCGTCGACTGCGGCACCGAACGAAAGCAGCCGTTCTCCGTACATATATATGGCTCTTTTTCCCTCTCTCTCTCTCTCTCTCTCTCCTTCTCGATTCTCAGAGAGGATCTGGAAAATTGCCTGCGCTCCTGCTGTGCGAGGATACGCGTCTCGTCTCTCTCAAATCGGCCATTTCGCCGGAGAAGCTGCGCGCGGATCTCGCGTTCGACTCGTTAAGCCACCCCCTCCTCCCTCCCCACGTGCCAACCCCCTTTGTTTTTACAGTGCGAAGGGACTCTCGCGATTCGAGCCAAAAAACCGGCGGGCAATGTCCCGTGCGTAATGGGTTTCGAAATCGGATAACCCTCGTGTTTACGAGCCTTTTTCATTTCTCGCGCCGTTGGCGAACGACTCGCGGCGCGACTCGTGCAGCGGCGGTCGCCCGTTAAAACACAGGAAACTGCCGTACGCGCCGTGCCGCTCGGCGGCTTTTACGATTTTCGAATCTGCCTTGACGGGGGTGAGCCGGGCCGACCGTCGCCGGCGACTCTCCCGTTGAACCTTTTCTTCGCCTTCCGCGAAAACTTCGGGTCTCCCGCGCGGCGTCGATGGCGCAGTCGATGCGAGCGATGCGGCCGGGACTTTTCAAGCGTAATTGAATCCTCCCTCGTTACCAATTCCGAATAACACACCCTTCGCGTGCGGCTAATGGCGCATAAAAATTTCAGCCTTCGCCGTTTTACATATCCGTGCGCTTCGTCGCACCGACAGAAAGGAAGAGAATGAGAGAGAGAGAGAGAGAGAGAAAACGCGAGCGAGCGGGAAAGAGACACAGTGAGTGAATGAGAGAGAGGGAGAGAAGGAGAGAGAGAGGGAGAAGGGAGGGGCGCGTTCTCAGAAGCACCGCGTTAAATGTTTATTGTTCGTCTATTCAAAGGCTTCCCATAGTCGTACGGCTAGTTTCACAAGGTTAACCCGTAGCGGCGCGGAGGATAGGTAGACTAAAACCCAAGTCTAGTTTCGTTCGGTAGCTACCACCGCCGCCGTCCCGGCAGGGGTACCCATCCCTTCTGAATATTTTAGGAAGTACGCGCGCATCCCTGGGCCCTCGGCTATATTATGTCGGGGAACCTTCTCTCCGATAGAGCCGGTCGAGCGTTCTCGGTGGATACACTTGCGATGAAATGCACCGGTGCGCGATGCAACGGATAACTCGGAGGTGGTCGCGAGAAACGGGAGAGAAAGACCCGAAAATAATAGAAAACTGCCGGGAGCGGCGTTTCGCCGGCGGCGAAAACGTGCGGGAACGAAAGAGTGCGCGCGAATTCGGAAATTCGGAAGGTCCGAGGAAGACTCCCCCCCCTTCTAATAAGGCTCGCTGCGATCTCTGGTCTGAAAGAGTGGGTTTCGCGAAGTTCTGCCGAACGTACAACCCTCGATGATGGAACAGGACCTCTCGGCGCGTTCTCGGCCGCGCGGCGTCGAGCTGCCACGAGCGCTTCGGGCTCGCATCGAAGTCGCTCGTATAAACCCGGTCCGGTTGAAATTCCCCGCCGATGCATTATGCATGGGCCGGTCGCTTTGGGTTTCGCGTAAACTTTAAGACCGGGCTCCTTCCACCTGACGAATTCGCAGTCGATCCGACGACTATCGCGACAACACCGGCCTCGAGCACGTCCCGCCCGGGGAAGCGGTGAGCCACGGACTGGGGCTCTGTTAATCTGCGATCATTTTCTCAATTAAGGGAGAATTCGACGCTCCGAAGGAGATCCCGAACTTTCGATTTCCGCTAAGCCTCGAACGTGTGTCTTCGCGATTTTTCTCGAGTATAGCCTTGCGAGTGTAGTTGAGATCACGTGGCGATAGATCGGCGGGTTGAAACGGCGGGTTTTATGCTTTTATGAGGCTCCTGTTTCCCCGCCGGTTTAATGATCTCAGAGGCGAGAGGATAGCACGGCTAAATTTACAGCGGGATACATTGAAATAAAAGGATAAGTTCATGATACTGATGGGATTGATTGAGCGGATTTGTAAGATGTTCCGGGAACATTTGTTTGAATAATCGATAAAATTAACGCGACAGAATCACGAAGAAGAGTGGGCTAAGAAGGAGAATCGCGTATTTATATTAATTTTACAGGTGATTACTGGTTGTTGAAGCAAGAGGAAAGGATTTCGGAATAAATCACCGGTACAATCGATCGATCGCAACATTGTAAATCCGAGTGTGTACACTGCAAATCCAAAATTGTCATTTCGGCTGAGGCTTATTTTATACATTTCTTGCCGTTTTAAATCATTTAACACGATCGGACGTTTTAAATAGTTTAACCTAAAAAAACGGTAAGAAACATGTAAAAGGAACTTCAGTCAAACGTGTCATTCTTCGACGTTTGCGTGTAAAAATAACGCATTCGGATTTGCAGTGTGTGGACTCGACAATACAACGCATGCTGTATCGCATGTGCTTACTGTTGGATTTGCAGTAGACAGGACTGCGACGACACCATACTCGAATCTCGCGTCGAAGATAGAAATATGGGCCGCGTGGGCGAGTGAGAGTGTGACTTACGTCGGTTTATCCGGCAAGTCGTGTTCCGCAGCCAGCAGCAGATCCTCCAGGGCGAAATGGTATTCTTTGAGGGCCATAAAGATCTCGGCTCTCCCGAGCAGCGCCAGCGGCAACGCCAGACCTTGATCAACCGTCTTGCTTTTACCTGAAACGGATATCGCGGCCTCCGTGTGATTTGATGCGGAGCATCGCCGCGCTGTTTCGAGCACGAACGAGCGGGCTGCCGGTCGCTCGCTCGTCGATTACCGTCCACCCTGGAATTTATCGATACACTAGTCAATGCGAAAACGCGAAAATCCCACTCGCCCCCGAGCGACGCACGTCGGCGAGACGCAGTAAGCAGGACTCGAGTGACATATTTATTCGACTTGTGAACCTGGCGAGGTGCCACGGCCGATGCGCGATCGCCTTGGCCGACGCGTATTTTAAGATCGTGGGGTTTTCGAGAAAACCTCGAACGTCCGCGCCTCGATCGGCGAGAAAAAGTAAAGGAAAAATCAATCTCAAGCGCGACGGACAACGAATTGTACACCGGGAGAAAGATTTCACCGAATTTCATCAATTTTATCGCATCCGGACAAATTTCAACATTGATATGCTCCAAAGAAACTAATATTTCGATTAAGTACGATTGTTAGACCTTCCAACGGATATGTATCTTAATTTGAAATAAAAAAATTTGTTTGAAAGATAATTTTCGTATACAGATTGCTTGATTTTCCATATTTATTGTAACCAAATAATATTTTATTTTGGTTAGAAGATATTATTTCAAATAATAGCGTTCTTTCTGTTAAATAATCGAATTTTTTTGAATGAGAATGAAATTTTTACTCAAACGAATAACATTTTGTATATGTTGTTTCTATGAGATAAATTTTAGTGAAATAAGTAAAAATACTAAATCCAAAGAAACCTCTTCCTTTTTCCTTTATGTACATGAAAAAATTAATATTAATTCAAGATTCATATTCTCATATACACATTGCTAATCCTTTAGCTGAAGCTCTTCTCACACATTTCTTACACGTGTCTTGCCGTTTTAAATCACGTCATTTAACATAATTTAACGTGTTAACTTGACACGTCATAATTCAACGTATTAATTTAATAAGNACGTTTTAAGTGACGTAAGTTGAATCGGCCAAAAATATGTAAAAATAACTTCAATCAAATGTCATTTTAAGACGTTTATGCGTGTAATTTTGTATTTTGCGTAATTTAATTAATAATAAAAAAATGACTATAAAGAACTGATTTTTAATTTCAATTTCCGATATAAATGAAGTAACCGACGCACAGACGACCGATTTGAAATCAAACTATTCAAATTCGAACTTTCTAGATTCGAAAACGAACCTGAATCGAATTTATTATAATTCATTTCGATTCGAATTCAAACAATTTGCATATCTTTATATTCTTATTATTCAAAAAATCATTTTTACGAATTAAAAAGAAAAAAATATGTAGACAGAACGAAATCTGATATAATTCTTAGTTTATAGATCTCGTTCTTTCTATCTAATACTTTTTCCTCTCAATTCATGAAAATTATTTTCAAATAATTACTTAATCATAATTAAATATTCTTGAATAACAAGAATATAATAGCTTGAACGGAAAATTAGATAAAATTTCTTCATGTGCAAGTAAACTTTATTTTTATACAAGATTATATATTCTTGCTTACGTGTATGCGTGAGAATATGAGTGAGTCTTGAATTGATCCTAACTTCTTTCCGTATATATGCACTAATTGAATATAATAACTCTAGCAAAATAATAGTGTAATTATTATACACAGTTATTGCGATAAATTGCGGTAATAATTGACAGATAAGTAAACGTTCCGTACAACGCGAGCGCGTTCTAATTATAGATGTAATTGCGTTACGTCATCCCGACTGCTAATGAAACCGACGACCGCGGGAAGGCCCCGGCCAGATCGTTCAGCGCAGAGTCCCTTAAATACAGAGTTTGGACGATCACGACAGTTTCTCATTGCTTCGGACTATTTTAAAACAAAACAAAATGACCGTATCAATCGATATTGTTATGTTTCTATTTCGTATACTCGAGTTCACAGGTCGATGAATGATTCGATATCGATGGTTGATTCTTCAGACCATTCTTCGATTTGATAACCATTAGATTTGATTACCATTAGATTTTTCATTGATGCAAAAGAGAAGATCGACGCTACATTAGCGACAGGTTCGCATGATATTTTATTGATATCATACAGGGTGTTTTATTTTAAGTGGTTACAGTCGATTGTTTTGAAAATAAAGCGTTTTCGGAAAAAATGTTTCGTATAAAAGTTCTGGGATTTTAAGTGACGCGTTACATAACAACGTTAGTTTGACCTTGGATAATATTGTTAAGGCCACGTAAAGATTATTTGGAAATTCTTTCATGGAAATCCTTATTATTGATTGCTTATTCTTATAGTTGACCTCGAGAGTTCTTCCAGACACTGTAATAAAGTTATTTTTCATTAAATACTTTCCGAGTTGTGAAGCTTGAAGGTTACAATATCGCCGGCGTTAGTATTACCCAAGATGTACCACGCGGAGGTTGCCCGATTGGGGCAACTTATCTACGATAATTGCGTCCAGCTTCACCAAGCACAAGAATAATATCAACGACTTCATTTGAATTGTAATCGACTATTTTGAAAAGAGCTTTGGAAAAGCTCACCACTGCTGTAGTATGACAAAATCGTTTGAAAAAGAAGAGCTATAAGAAAAAAACTTGAAAGTGGAAAGCTAAGTCGTTCAATTGGAAAGGATTGATCTGGAATTGTTAGACTATCCACGATGATTACTTATATTGAGTTATGATTTACCTACGCGAAAATGTAATTGGAAAACTTATAGGTAAAAATGCAAAACTCCCGTGAGCGTAAATGAAGCTCAGTCGCCGTCGCTTCTTCTTATCGCACGCGCTATACCATACTTATTCGCGCGCGCTATACTGCAAATATCGTAACTTTCACGCTTCATAACTCGGACAGTATTTGATGAAAAATAACTTTATTAAAGTTATCTCTCTCTCTCGAAGTCAGCTGTAAGAATATATAATTAAAAAAAGGGATTTTCATTAAAAAATTTCGAAGTAATTTTTATATGTATTTCTATATTAACCTTACAATGTTATCGAAGATCACACTAACTTACTAAATAATGCGCCACTTAAAACTTTACAATTTTCATATAAAACATTTTTCCCGAAAATGGTATACTTTCAAAATAATCGACTGAATCACCTAAAATGGAACACCCTGTATAGTGGATATTTAGCTATCTATGCGATATGTGGAGAACGTCATAAGCGTCGACTGATTATTCATGATCTAGTCAATGCCTAATCAGTATCATATCCAAGCCGAATGGTTATATCTATATCTATATACCAACTTGATGTGGATATATCTTGGATAACGACGAGGTCGTCATCATATTTACACAATATCTTCTAGATATCGTGCTGAAGTCTTAGAAATATCAAATCGTATATTGACTTTCACGTGATTTTGATTTGATTTCAACATGATTCTGACTGGATTTTTCATCGACTTGTGCATCCAAGTACTACTGCGCGCGGAAAAAACTAAAAACTAAAAAAGCTAACCAATTAACCGGCCGTATTTTTAGCTCAGAAATAAAATTTGAAACATTAATAGATCTAAGGATTGATGAAACGTTTACAACGTCATTTTAATATTGCACAGTGTATATCTGTTTTTTTCTTATTTAGTTTTAATTCAATAAATTTGAGCCATAATATATTCTTATCTATTTATAGCAGAAAAATGTAAAAGAATGTCTAATGAAAAAATCTCTAAACAAAATAATACAATGTGCACATTCAATATAATCACTATACGTTACTTTATAACAAATAAAATCCGTACACAGAGAGAAAAATTTTTTTGGATTTAATAACATTTCTTTAGTTGAAACAAATTTGTCTTTTAGAATAAAATAATACAAACGAATGTTTGATTCAATAAACAGGAATGTTTGATTTTTCAAACAACAAATATCTCTCTCTCTCTCTCTCTCTCTCTTTACGTCAAATACTATATTTCTTTTACATTTTTATCCAAACATTGCAATACTTATCACAAGCGGTAAGTAAATTATCTAAAAGAAATAACACTGCTACAAAATTGTTAAAACACTGTTACAAAAACATTCAGTGGAAATATTTCAGTGGAACACTACTTAATATATAATGAGATAAATTTTTTTAATATTTTATTTATTGGAAACGAAATATTACTTCCTCTAAATAATGCTATATTTTTTTTATCAAACAACATAATTTGCTCCAGTGAACTACAAAATTGGCATTCAAACGAAATGATATTTATCATTAAATTAAATTGTTTATATTAAACAAACTCGGGTCAAACAAACAAATACGAAATCCAAAGGAACCCTTTTCTCCGTGTAGAAATAAATGAAAACCGTCAACGTTATTTTGTTCCGAAATCAAAGATTCATCCGTACTCTGTATTCGCGGACATGCGAATACAGTATGAAGGACTCTGGTTTGTTCCAATGGTCTTTCCCCCCTTTCCACACACTAATGCTTTAGCCGTTCCGATTGATCGTCAATCTATTCTATTTGTAGCTACCTGATTGGGGCGCACGCAAGACGGCCTGACTGAACAGCAAAAGAGCCTTGTCGTATTGGCCGACCGCGGCAAGCTGGTATCCCTCGAGCCGTCTGCGCCTGGAGATCTCCGCGTCCTTATCCCGGAAGAGGAGCTTCACCTTGGCGAGAGTGTCAGCCACGACGTCCCGTAACTTCGCATCGGAGAAGACCGCCCGCACGCGCCCCTCGTCGCTGTCAATCCGACCGAATATCCGCGACGTCCACGCGTCGCCGGCGGTTTGCGTCACGAAGTCGCTGAAGTCGTGGAAGAAGCCCTTCTTGCCGGAGCGCAGGGTCTCCGACGAGCAGAGCCTGCCGTAACACTCGTCGCGGTCCGTCTGCATCCTCGGGCGCGCGGAAAGATCAGTGCTCGTGAAGAACCGCTGTTGAAAAATCCCTCGCACCGCAAATTCCTTTACCGTTTTTTCTCTTCCCGGGTCGAAATTTGGACCTTATAACTTTTTTTCTTTATTTTAGCCCTTTAATTCTACACGGGCAAAAAATGCTGTCGAATTAATAGAATTTCCAACAGCGCGCGTAATTGGAATCGAACTTCTTGAACTTCAACAGTAATATCAATGAAACTAATATTTTATTAATTGAAACAATATATAACGCAAATAGTTTTAATGATATTTTACCATCGAATCAAGAAGATTTACTCCGATCACGCTGCTGTGGAAAATTTTATTTATTCAACATTTTTTTCCCTATGCGACAAAGCTAAAAGCTAAGATAGCGAAATAGATTCATACACACACAATCTCAATTCTAATAATATAATGTATTTTTATTTCGGGATCATGTATGTATGCAATTTTTGCACTTAATTGTAAACTACAAATGCATGTATGTAATTTTTGCACTTAAATATATAGTCACTTTTACATAATTTTACGCGTATTATTTGGCTGCCCGTTTTATCTGTTATTTTGCGCAATTCAAAGCGTATATTTTACACATTTATATATTAAATTAATATATATATATATATATTAAATTACACATATAAAACGTGTAATTATAATATTTTCTTATTTCTTCTTTTCTTCTCCGATGGAAAACATTTACTATTAATTAACTATAAACGTGTTGAATTTTATGCATAAAACATATTTCTTTTCCAAATATATACNCAAAAAACGCTAAGAATTTTCTTCCCAATCTAATAAATATTTCCTCATAATTATATATAAAAATCACAGATAAGAAGACATAAACGTATATAGATATTTTGTGTATATTTTTTATACATTTATATTAATTGAAAATACATATTCTCCATTTTTATATATTTCCTGCTATATATCTTATTCCACATTATGGAATGTTTTAAATTACACGTTTAAATATGTGAATTTATTTCTTTATGCGGCAAAATGTGTAATTTTTAACGAAAAATCAAACCACATACATAAAAGTGTAATTTTAATAATTTAAAACTATCCTTATGGAAGGATATTTTCAATAAGAACGTTTAGTTCGATAGGTGATTTTTAGGAATTTTCTTTTAAATTATAAGACATGCAATTCTGGAATATTGCATAAATATTTATCTATGCATTCAGTTAAATAAAGGAAATTTTACCTAGAGATAGGAACAAATACCAAGGCCAGAAAAAATGGTTGATGCTCTAAATGGTCAACACGTCAAACAACTGCTGTAAATAATTCACTAAATAATTCACTCTGGTTTCAAAAGCTCATTTCTAGCTCATTTGCGGACATGGATTTATCGACAAAAATTATTTGTTTTGGTATCCTTTATAAATATTCGAAGTTTGTCGATCTAATTTCAGAATACTTTGTGTAAAATAATTATTGTATAATATACACAGTAATTTATACTCATTATCACATTTAATATTAACAAAGTTATAAATAATTTTATTAACGCTAAACGTGAAAACTTGGTGACCACGATTCCAGATATCGTAGATTTCTGAATACAAAATGACAAAAAAATTATTAATCTATTGGGAGTACAAATTAGTTTGGTCCGATTTTTGTGGTTAAAAGTGCATTTATTTCAGAACAAAATGAATGAACAGATTAATCAAAGTATTGTCCATCGCTGGTTACTACTTTTTCCCACCTCTCAGACAATTTTCGAATTCCATCTCGAAAAAATGTCCCGTCTTTTGAGGCGATCCAAGTTAGGAGGCAATTTTCGATTTCTGCGAAAGAAGTGAACCGGTGACCTGCCAAATCGTGCTGCATCCGTCGGAACAACCAGTAATCAGAAGAAGCAATGTCCGGCGAATACGGCGGGTGCGGTAAAGTATCCCACTTGAGCGTTTCCAAATAATTTTCTACGACTTTTGCGACATGAGGCCGAGCGTTATCATGCAGAAGAATAACTTTGTCATGTCCTCGCTCGTATTCCGGCCGTTTTTCTCGTAATACACGGCTCAAATGAAATTGTAGCCAATACCGATGGCCCGTAATGGAATCGCCGCATTTTACCGCATGCGGTAAAATATAATTTTTTGGCTGTCCAGAGCGAGGCTTGTCTTCAACGCTGAAATCACCATTCTTGAAACGTCGAAACCATTCCCTACATAATTTATCAGTTGGAGCATTGTCACCATAAACTTCTACAAGCATTCGATGCGCTTCAGCGGCACTTTTCTTCCAATTAAAGTAGAAAACTAAAACCTCCCGCAAATGCTGCTTATTAAACACAAAATTTGACATATTCAACACAGTAAAAAACAAGGGTTTTGTATGAAACTCAAAGCGATATAAACTGAATATTATTGACAGATGTCTAACCTCTCTGAAACCACCGAAATCAGCTGTCACTGTGAAACATTCATAACAGCCAGAGCCATCTTTTGAAAACGGACCGAACTAATTTGTACCCCCAATATAAACTCGTGGATATCGTTCCTACCATGATGAAATCAATATTCTAAACGTTTCAACTTTTTAAATATTTTCAAACTGAAGAACAACTGACTAAAAGTCGATTTGTCTCTTTCAAGAATCCTGCCATTGTGTGAGAAATTTATTTTTATTTTCCATCGTGATAGAGATGATAGCTACAAGTTCAGAGTTTTAATCTTTTCGTCGTTTTCATATCGGAAGCCCGCAACGTTCGGAATCGTGACGATCACACGAGCAACACCTTAATTCAGCGCTGCGCAAAATGATTTATAACTTTATTAATGTTGCACGTAATAACGTGCATAAATTACTGATTATAAGTAAAACATACATAAATATCTGCACGAAAATCACATGTATGTTTGATAATTAAAAAAAAAAAATTATCAGGATCATTTAACGAAACGACGTTTGAAATAAACCCGCGGGCCCTTGAAAGCTTCAAAGTGGCGTCAAAATTTCGATTCGAGTCGACACTGCGACTCTTTTATTTCCGCTCTAACGAGAGATCCTGAGAGTCTCGCGAGTCCTGCGAATTCCACGGATGGCCGGCCGAGACATGCCGCCGTCGTCCGCGTTTTACGGGTCGCGTACGTGCGCTTTATTAGCTCGCTCGGCGGGCAATTCGCGCGATTCGCGTCGACGCGGTCCACGCCGCATCCTCCGCCTCTCCGACCTCTGCGGCCGTCCCTTCTGAATATTACAGGAGCCGGATATCTCCCGGTGTCCCGGCGTCGTTCGTACGTCGAACGCGCGACCTCGTTTCGCGAGCTCCGGAGTAGGATTAAGAAGAAATGGACGCGATTCGTCGCCGGCGTCGTCCGGAATATCAAGGAGCCGCGTGCAAATATTTTGTCAGCGCGACAGAATTTTTTCGTTAATCAGCCACTTAGATTTCGCGCCGTGCCAACTTCGCGAGTTGTCGCGCGAACTGAGCGCAAAGGAAGGAGAGAGAGAAAGAGAGAGAGAGACCGCCGCACTAAATCATAAAAAGCCGCCGTGGTCCGGCGAATTTTCGCTCTCTTTCTTTTTCTCACTCGTTCTCCCCCGTTTCGAGTCCACGGAATTAAACGACTCTATTCGCCCGTGAGAAATAGTCACTCGGGGATCCTCTATCAGAAGAGTCGCGAGACCCGAATTTAAAAATTTCGCCGGCGCGCGCGCGCGCCAGACGGATCCTCCTTCGCAAATTGGGCACCGCTGCAATCTCGAATGCCCGATGGACTCTTAATCCTTCCGGTATTATTTTTATCTTCCTTCCTCCCTACTTCCCCTCCCTTCTCTCTCCCCCCCCCCCNCCCCCCCCCCCCTCTCTCTTTCTTTATTTCGCGCGTCCGTTTCGCCGGAGAACGAATAAAAGCAAAAGTACAAGCCGAATTCTACGATTGTCCGCGGAGAATCCGACGGCGGGGGTCACGTACTAAATTATCCCGACACGTGCTAGGTCAAAGGTTGCACCGCGGCAACCCGTAGATCGAGAAGTTCGGCTCGCGCGAACCGTTTTACCCGCGCTTTAATTTTATTTTAATCCCCGCTCTTTGGACGCCGTCCAACGCACCGCCTCAACACTTAGGTAACGTTCACTTCCGCTGCGCACTCCCGTCCTCCCCGTCCTTCGGTTCTCGCGATCGCGAGAACTTCTCCTCCTCCTCGACGGCGATCACTTCTCGATTCTCCCCGATTCCCGCACAGTTTCCGACGCGGACGGGTGCACCGACCGTTTCGGAGGTGGCCCGGTGCATACGGAATGACTGAAACGGATTGCCCGCGTGTCGTCGTTCTCTCCCCTCCCCCTCTCACCTGCGGCGAATAAAACTTGAAAGATCCCCCCCGCGAGAACCGCACGGACCCGGGAATTCCTCGCGCGCCGGCCCCGATGCTTTATGAGGGTTTTACTTTATAGACACGAACGAGGTATTAGAGCGAAAGACCGGTCTTAGACTGACGACGCCGCTAGAATGCGGGCGGCTAGCCGGCAACGAATATATATGGCGCACTGACGAGGGCGGAATGCGCGGGCCTTCCTACCTCGCTCTCCAGACAACATCACACGGCTAGAGAAATAATTTTAGACGCGGTATCCTCTATTCCGGTACCAACCGAAGAGGAGAACGCTCTCTCCCTCTCTCCCCCCCTCTCCTTCTCTCTCTCTCTCTCTCTCTCTCCTCGTCAGAGTCATCTGGTATCGCGCGCTCGCAAGCGAGAGCGATCGACGAGCCTCGGAAAATCTCTCGTCGATAACGACATCCTCGCGATCCCCGTTCCCTACCCCGTTCACCTCGCCCCCTATATTCGGGTCCTCCCTCTCTCCCTGCTCCTCGCCGCCCTTTCGTCCTTTTTCCAGCACCGTTCCCTCTCGAGTCGACGCGGAAAATCCTACCCGATATCCGCGCGTCACTGCCCATTCCACCAGCATAGCCCCCATTATAGCCAAGAAAATTTATCGCCGAACGTCCTTGATCTCCCTCTCCCCCCTTCCCCCCGTCCCGGCCGCTACCTACGTACCCTGCAGCCGCACCGGCCTCCCTCTTCTCTTCGCGGGGGAAATACCTGGATTCGAGTAACTCGTAAATCGAACTATCCGTAGTAATAAAGTCGTGCCGCGACACTCCCGGAGCGCGCAACTCCGCTACGAAGTTTCCGCACCTCTCCGCAGCCGCTTTTTGCACCGGGGAAAACCCCGTAGCGGGTTAGCGCGCGAGACGTTTTTCGGCGCCGTCCCGTCGATCGTTTAACGGACACTGACCTGACTTCGGGCGAGACAGATTTTAATTCCCCAAGTCGCATCGCTACGATTGCAGCGCCATCCCGCATAATTTCTCAAGATCTAATTGGGGTCCAGAGCGATTTCCCAAAATAATTACGGACCCTATTCGGAGAATCCACGCGGGCTCTCCGATTGGGAAATGTAATGTTTTAAACATGCGATTCTAAGTGGGTAGCGCAAACAGATCTCATTTGGTCAACTCCAACGAACTTTCAAAGGACTTTCCTGGCTTCTATTGTGCACTACGATTGAACAAAATATACGAAACACTTTAAGTATTTATATTTTACAGATACACACATACACACATGTGCGCTATTTGAATATAGTAATGCCGATTATTAAGTAAATGCCAAAGTCGATGACGAACCTGATTGATGTTGGTAATGTAGAGGCGATCCTCAAAATGTTATGTTACATAAACATTGACCAATCGTGCTATTCTTTTTGTATCTTTTAATATAAGCACGATATAAACGCATTGAGAAAAAGGTCTGATAAAACTAACCCGTGTAATTTCTAGCCACGATCTTCCCTATTTTGAGACAACCTGGGATATTTTTATCGAAATTTATGCTGTGCTCTGGGAAGATCATGAGAAATTTTTATGCCGGGGTTCGAAATGCCCGCACTATTCTCCTCGATTTTCGCTCACACGAGATATCATGGGAAAATAAAATCGCAAAATTCGAAAATCCTCACTTATTTTGTAGTATAATTTAACGATGGATTCTTCGATTGACCTTTTACGGACGGATTTCAGGATTTCCCCGACGACATGATGCTTTTATCGTTTCGAACGTGATTCCAGACACACTCGTCGTCTACCGGTTGTCTAAAGTACGCGTTGAAGCGTGATATAAATGCTATAATTGAAATATATATATATATATATATTCGAGATTGTTTTTTCGTGAAATATAGTAAACGAAACAACCCGTTCGCAAAAAGTAAATTCATATGAATTTTCTCCGACGAAAAATGTCGAAGCTCCGACAGTTCTCTGATAACCCGAGGTGAAATGTTTATTCTAAGTTGATCCTGCAAGCTCCGTCGAATTTCGCAGATTCAATGAAGAATTCTGAGATATATCACTATTGGCTGTAATCCTCGACGTAAAATAACGGTTAAATCGACAAAATTAATATTCTAATAATAGCAAAATTAGCATTCTCATTCAAATAATGCGAGCAAATTACACGTTGGTGCAACAATACGTTGCGTTGATATAGTTGCTGACGGAATTATTACTGAAACAATAATAACTTATCGCAGTGCGATTATATAGAATTTGTTTAATCGACTAAATGTTTGCTCGAGCGAATTTCGTTCGTCCAAGCCAAGTTTCGTTGATTTCATCGCTTTTTATTCTTCAATCTGCGAGTGATTATTTATTGCTTCTGCATATGAGATCTAACGATATTAAAAGATAGACACGATAAAACAACAAATGAATGAAAAGTTCTTTTATAAGCAATTTTTTTTACTACAGCTAGGAATTTCAATCGAATTTCAATCGATTCCAAAGATATGAGAAGGAAGGAATTATAAGGGCAAAATTCCTGCGGTTTTAATCCGCTTCATTTCGATTAAAAGAGGGAGGAAAAAGGAGGGAACTACAATCACAAAGTAACGCCGTAAAGGTGGGATTCTATAATTTTTCTATCGATTCCCTCACGGTTTCACGCGCGTTTCGAAACGGCGCCTGCTGAAGATCAACCGCGCCGTTCGCTCAGAGAAAATTTGTACGCGGACGTTCCACCCGACGTTTCTCTCCCATCCTCGAGCGCGTAAAGTATCGATGCTCCTTTCCTGATGAAATATCGACACTTGACTTCTTGGAGTAAGTGGAGCCTTTCGCGCGGTAACGTCATATGAAATTCCCGTTGGACCGCCGCGCGCCGCCAGTTGTATCGATTTAACGTCTGACCACGTATGCCCCGTTACTCGTCATATACGTGTCAGGTGTCTCGCCTTATCTATTCGCAATCCCGCTCATATTCTCTTCTCCGAAAGGCATGAATTTTTCAACATTGTCGTCGCCCAGATTCTCCCTTGTTGCACCGTAAAAAAATTTCGCCGCGTACCCGTTAAACTCTGTCATCCGCGTGCGCATATTAAATTATCGCGTGCGTCAGTATATATATATATATATATATATATATATATATATATATATATGTATAAATTATCACACACATACATATATCTGTTTATTTCATGAACTATCCGAATCGCATTACTTATACATGTTACGAGAAAGAGTGCTCTTCCTGAAAAGAGCGATAAATATATGAACTTGGATCACGAGATATTATTTCGGCTTATAGAAACCTGTAAGCAAATGATTGCGAGGCTTTTTAATAAACGTTCGTGACACGTTCGCGGCTAGCTTGGAAAATTTTTCTGACGTACCATATTGCACTCGACTTTATGTTATTGTGTAAAACAGACTTGTGGTTTGTTTATGTGGGTATAGAAATAAAATTTATCGCACATATATGTGATGTTGGTAAAGAACGTGTTAAGTAAAATCGTAAATTTGGAGCAAAGATGAGCTCGAAGTGAAAGATCGATGCGTCATATACGTGTGACGCTTGTCGCGAGCGTGTTAAAATCAAAATTAAAATCAAACAAAAAGCAATCAGCTCTTTCATCGCCCTTCAGTGGCAAAAATTCCACTGAAATAATCATTTTCGGCAATTCAACTGTATCTTCTCTTGGTTTGTACGCAAAAATAGCAAGAGAAATATATATGTAATTATTATTGACATTGTAGCAACGCTAGAAAAATGATTTTCCTGACTATAATTCTTTCATTTAGGCGATTAGAGGAAAAGCACAAAAACTGAGGTATAAAAACATACATAGGCAAACAAAGCATAGGTAAACAAACATAGGCAAACAAAAACATATTGATATTGACATATCAATGTTCCTCGGTTGTAAAGTATTGAACTCTATCGAACTGAACATGAACTTCGTCTACTATGTACAGTACTATGTACAGTAGTTGCAGCTGAAGTGGCACTTTCTGCTTACAAGCGCGTTCGATTCTGTTATTAATATCGATTTTTTTTTCGTTGTGATGAAATTTTCGTTGACCTATCTTCTTGTGAAAATTAAAGTCGCAAATCAGTGATAAATAATTTATTTCATAATGTTATTTTATGTTACGAAGTGAGCTATGAATTTTCTAAATCACCTTAGATCTTATCCAAATTTCTATCTTTTATCACTAAAACACTCAAAAGAATTAGATTTAGTTTGTTCTATAAATCGAGACACTTGTGTTTATTGGTTTTTTAATCGATATGCCTAAATTTTACTGTAAAATATCATTTCGCAGAATACAGTTGAAGTTATCGGTGACTGATTTTCTTCTGTTCTCCTTGATTATTTGTTTAGAATGGTCAGGAAGAAAATGACTAGGGATCCCTTTTCATAATAATTTCATAATAAAGGAGCAATACATGTATTAAGTTGGCAAGGATGAAATTTATAGTTAATAATATTGCCAACTGTAACAGCTTATTATTTGACATTGGCTTTATATTACCGTTCTGTTTTTTTTTTTGTTGGAAAGTTACATATCCCGCCTGTTTAAAGAAATCACTGTAAGCTCTAAAAAATATTAAAACCTTCTTTTAAAAATTAATTTTGTTGAAAATGGAACGGTCGGAAATTCGCATTATTATGAAGTATGAGTTCTTACGTGGAACTGCGGCATCGCAGACCGCGCGAAACATTAATAGTGTATTTGGCTCTAGTGTTACTACGCAGCAGACAGTATCAAATTGGTTTGCCAAATTTCGTACAGGTAACTTTTGACCTCACAAATGAGCCACGCGGTCGCCCAGAATCAAAGGTCAATAATGACGAACTAAAGGTCACCGTTGAGTCTGATCCATCTCAGAGTGCCTATGAATTATCGTTGAAGTTTGGTGTTAATAAACAAACAATATTAACTCATTTAATTCAAATCGGAGAAAGCTTGATAAGTGGGTTCCACATGAACGGATGAAAAACAGAAACAAAAGCGTTTGGAAGCTTGCTTGATGTTGCTTTCTCGTCACAAATCTGATCCATTTTTTAATCGAATTGTCACCTGTGATGAAAAATGGATTCAATATGACAATCGCAAACGTTCAGCACAGTGGTTGAATAAGGATGAATCACCAAAACACTCCAAAGCGCAATATTCATGAAAAGAAGCTGATGGTGAGTGTTTGGTGTGCAGTAGCGCAGGTG